AGGTACATGTGCCCTAGGAAGGCACCCACCCCTGTTCTAAAACCATTGACGCCTTGTAAAGCCACATAAAACCCTAAACCCTCAACCCCTAAACCCTAAACCCCTAAACCCCAAACCCCTAAACCCCAAACTCCTAAACCCTAAACCCAAAACCGTATGAAAGCCCCAGAAAAGACTACAAGAATATTTCTCCGCCTTGTATCCACAGGTTGCTGTTGGGACCCCTCCTGCAATCCAAGACTCGTGCCGCTGAGCTGGGCATTCTTGTTCTATAGGGCCTTTAGGGTCTAGGGGTTTAGGTTTCAGTTGTTTCTACTTGGCTTGTGTACTGTTTTTCCGATAAACTTTCCAGGGATTGATGAGCTGTCTTCTGTGATAGGGTCTGATAAGGGTTGTATTTAAGGGATGGACCACAGCATTTACGATCCGAAGCTCGAGCCCCTTGTGTTCTTGAGCTCCTATCGTCCAGGGGGGTTGTTGGGAACCTGGGCCGGTCTAGGAGTCACTATCGTATACCTCAGGAATACCAGAGACCGTACATCTAAGGAACTGGTGCTCGGACGTACCGATCATGTAGTAAATGGCTGTGCCAACAAGAAGAAGCAGGACAGTCGGAGACAAAAACCAAGTTCCTGGCATACATGGTGCGTATGTAAACCATTTATGCTCTCAGGCGACTGTTTACACACCACGGTCATGTTAGCTTCAAGGAAGGTAAAATGTATTCACCAGGGCCTCCAACTAGGTCCATGATCAGCGCAAACAGCATCTACGATGGTATGCCCAAGGCAGCGCGAAGCATACCACGAAGCATACCCCGAAACCCACTCCGAAGCATAATTACCCTGAAACATATCCGCGAAACATACCACCATCCTCACATTGCTGGTAGAACTCCTCTTATTCTGACACGCCCAAATAGTCTCGGGGCTCAGCCGAAGCCTTTTGGTGTGTTCTTCTGGTCTGGCTGCTTGCTGCTGAATCTGGGTTTTCACGATTCCCTAAACCCTACACCCCAAACCCTGACGGTTCTTTGAACCCCCCAAAAGAGCCCAAGTAGTTCTTAAGCTCCAGGCCCCATCTGGTGGTAGTTCCTGACGACTCCCCAAGCTGCCCCGGAAGGCCTCAAAGGCCTCCGGTCATGTCGCAGTACTCTTGGCCTCGATTTAGGTCGTCGTTCTGCAGCCTGACTCGGAGCGGATCAAGAAATTCGATCGCGTGGTTGCTCCTCAGTCTGCATGATGTCACGGACCATGGTACGAATCTAGACCTACTGTTGATGATATAAATCCTGCATTTCCTTAAGAACCCTAAACTATGGGAATTATGGAGCTCCGAGACTCGGGGCCCGCAAACCCAAACTCGAGCCGATGTAACGGTTCTAGGGTTGAACCTTCGGTGGCTTCTTCTGGTTGGATTTCAGAGACGGGTTTGGGGATGCATGAGGATTTCGGCTGCGACCTGACCCTCCATGTTGGGATTTGGGAGTTTGAAACAGGGCACCGAAGATATAGCAACAAAGAGGAGCATCCTTATTCAGCACAGGACCTCCTAAACCCTATAAATCCTATAGCCCCCTGACACCCCGAATTAAACCAACCGAAAACTTGGAGTTCGTCTTTGAAGAGCTACAAGTTGCTTGAAAGCTCAGGTGCTCTCGGGTGGTCGCATTGTGGAGACGGGCGAACCCAGCCAGGCGATGGGTGAACGGGCTTTAGGGTTTAGCGGTTCGGGGTTTAGTGTTTAGGGGTTTGGGGTTTAGGGCTTTAGGGTTGAGGGTTGAGGGGTTTAGGGGTTTAGGTGTTCGGGG